TTTGCAGGGCTTGCTGTTAAGGGAAGTGTTTGATTTGATTTAAGCACGAGATAAGATAAGCACATTGGAAATGGAGCTATCGATGGCGGGGCTATAATTTACAAAATTGCAGCATTTTCTTTATTGAAGCTCTGGAAAATAAAGCAGCATCACAGCTCACAGGTGGTTGTTTAAGGTAAGTAGGCACGGAGTGATCAACTCAAATCACATAAACCCAACTGGAATTCTCTGCCATCCTCCTGTGCTGAGAGGGAAGAGCTGAACTTTCATTGCCATTAAGATTATTTTTGGTTTGAGCTGGACTCTAATGGCTCCAAATCACCAGAACTCTGCATCTGGAGGCAAAAAAGGCTTTTGTGTCCTGGTAATTGTGGTGTGACCACGGGAGATGTGAGATGAGAACATTTGTGGCGTTTTCTGCTTTGTCTTGCAGGGAATTGTCTGAACTTGGGGCCTGCAGGACCCTTGGGACTGCTGCTCATTTTGAGGAGCAGCTCAGGGTGTTTGTGGCCCTCCTTCATCTTCCACCACCATGGAATCATGGAATTGTTTGGGTTGGAAGGACCCCAAATCCCACCCATCCCACCCAGCCATGGCAGGGACACCTTCCCCTGTCCCAGCTGCTCCAGCCCCAGTGTCCAGCCTGGCCTTGGGCACTGCCAGGGATCCAGGGGCAGCCCCAGCTGCTCTGGGCACCTGTGCCAGGGCCTGCCCACCCTGCCAGGAACAATTCCTGCCCAAAATCAGCTGAATTTCCCCACTTTCAGTTTGTACCCATTGCTCCTTTCAGCTCCTGCTGAAGGTCCCTCTCCAGTTCCTGTGACCCCCAGAGCCTGGAAGGTGCTGGGAGGGCTCCACACACCCTCCTCCCCTCCAGGTGAGCACCAGGTGAGATCTTCCAGCCCTCTTACACCTCCCTGGCCTCCTCTGGACTCGCTCCAACGCTTCGTGTCCTTCTCATCCCGGCATCCATCAGGAAAGGCTGGAACCACCATCCCTTGGTGTCAGCAAGAACTCGTCACCTCTCCTCCAAACCCTCAGCAAGTCACAGGTGCTGCTCGCTTTGAGCAAGGAGTTGATCAGGATTCTCCACAGGAGGGTCAGGCTGGATTTTAGGAAGAGTTTTTTCCCTGGAAGTGTGGTCAAACCCTGGCACAGCTGCCCAGGTGTCGTGGTTTTAAAGCAGTAACTAAAAATTGCTTATGTCTTGCTGTGAGATATGGATTAGAACAAGGGCAAAACAGGTTTAAAACTTAAAAGGAAATAAATAAAATTTATTAACAAAACTACAAGAATAAGAACACCAGAATAAACTTCCAGAAAACTCTTTTATCTTCCACTACTTAACCATTTCCTTGTACATGTGATAACACAGAGACAAAAAACTTTGAACTTTGGTGTTTAAAACAGTCTCAATTCCTGCTAGAGTCTTTTCATCAGCCTTTGTAGAGAAACAGAAGTCTTCTTCTGCTAATCTATGCAGTTTCTCATGAGAAAACTATTTCTGTTATAGTTTTCTATTTCTCTGATGCCAGCTGCCCAGAAATCTGCCATCAGTTCACTCTTGGGGAGGAGGCCGACACAGAGCCTGTTACCTTGTCAGAAGCTGGAAACACAAAGAGAGCAAGAGAACTCTGGCTTTACATCTTAAGGTGGTGTTCACAAGTGGATCTCACTTTTCAATGGTCAAAACTGCTGTCAATTTTTAGAAATTATGGATAATTAGTCGGGAGAAAAGACTCCCATCAGCCGCCAGCAGCTTCAACTTCCCTAGCTCTCAAAGCTATCTTAAAATCACCCATGACACAGGGCAGGGCTGGAGTGCCCATCCCTGCAGGGGTTCCAAGCCCTGGGGATGTGGCACGTGGGGACGTGGTCAGTGGTGGCCTTGGCCCTGCTGGGGATGTGTTATAAATGCAACGGCAAATTAAAGATTAACAAAGATTAATTTATTATAAATTAATAAAGCAACAAACAGTGAGGAAAAAACCACAATAAATGGACAGCGCAGCGCTGGGTGGACAGGGTCTATACGCAAGGTATAGGTGTTCCCAAATCCACGTCTGAGGGTTCTCTGGCCTGGGTTTTTATAGGGATTTTATGTCCCCAGGCTAGAATTCCAACCAGTTTCCATTCACCAAATGTCCCTGATTGTCGGGTGAATGGATTTCCTGGCCTAGAACATTGAGTCAGTAAGTATCCGGGCAGAGTCTCCTCAAATGTAAAGTGAGTCTGTATGTATTTTAACATATTTCATCACAGCAGGATTGAGAGATCCGGGCTGGTGCCGATGGATATCTCAGAGGAATAGTCTCTTCTTTGTCTTTCTTGATTGAGTTTCAGTAGTATGGGTTTGGCAGGTGTGGTGTTCGGTTCTGGCAACGACCATCTTCCTGGGGCTCGTCCCTTTTGTCTTGCTTGATGGTCTCCGGCCGAAATCGGCCGGGCGTTGCCTTTCTCTGGAGGTAGACTTTTAGGCTGGTTCTTTTGTTTCTGTGATGGCCTGTGTCCTGTCTTTTCCTCCGAGTTGATGAGTCTGCTGAAACCTGTTATCTGGGGGGGTTCTTTTGCAATTCGTGGTTTTTGGAAAAGGAATTCTATCTCGACCGGGAGGAGAATTCCTTATTCCATACTTACATTTAGTTATAATTATACATACTTTATTTAAACTTCTTATTCCGAATTTTTATTTACCCAATTCTTTATTACACTGTGATCTGAGCCATGACCCTGATTAAAACAGCTAGGAAATCCTGGGAAACCTCCAGAGACAGCATCAAATCCTTTGCCTTGAGGTGAAGGCGAAAGAAACAAGGAACAGATTTGTGCAGCCTCAGAAAGGATGAGGCATTTCCAGCACTCAGGCAGAGCATGTGCAGTGACAGGAGTGAGGAGTGTAATTACCAGGGCACCCAATTTCTCTGCTCCAGGCAGGAGCTGATCAACAGATGGTTTGCAAAGAGCTCCCATTGCTCCTGGTGGCTCACACGGCATAATTAGTGAGGGAAATGGGAGCTGTGACAGGAGTCTCACAGTCCCAGCAGCTCCAGACACAGCCTGGTGCTGCAAAGCTGAGTGCAAGAGAAAACTGCTCTAGAATGTGGAGCAGCACCAGGCTGGGTCCCAGCTGCTCACTCCTGCCTGGGTGCTCCAGAAAAAAAAACATCAAATGAGGAATGTGTTGGACAGATCCACTTAAAAGCAATTTGCTTTATCTGTGGCAAGACAGGAGTTCATGAGGTGAGAACTCCAGGGAGAGCTGTACTGGGAATCTCACAAAAATCCTGGGGTTTGCTGGTGGGAGGAAGACCAGGGAGAAAGAAGGAATTTGGAATTGTTCCCTGGCAGGGTGGGCAGGCCCTGGCACAGGGTGCCCAGAGCAGCTGGGGCTGCCCCTGGATCCCTGGCAGTGCCCAAGGCCAGGCTGGACATTGGGGCTGGAGCAGCCTGGGAGGTGTCCCTGCCATGGCAGGGGTGGGAATGGGTGGCTTTGAGGTCCCTTCCCACCCAAACCATTCCATGTTTCTATGATCCTGTGTCTCTACGAACAGCTTGCCCAGGCAATGGGCAGGGACAAATTTCCACTGTCCCAGGTTGCCCCAAAGCCCATTCAAGATAGCCTTGGGCACTTCCAGGGATCCAGGGACAGCCACAGCTTCTCACCTCAGTCTCCCAAGACCAAACTTCCCTGTTTTGGGACAAAGCAGGATAGCCCTGTCCCCTGAGGTGCTGAATTCATTCAACTGCCTGCAACAGAGCCTTTGCTCTCCTCACTGCCTTGTGTACTTGGCCAAGTTCCTCAAGCATTTCTGGTGCATTTGCAGCTGCTTCCTACATGGCTTTTGCAATGGATGGGGACTCCAGAGTTATTTAAAAGATGCAATCTATCACAAACTATCGAAGTTGTTCAAAGCACTTGTACAAAACCCAAGAATTATTCCTAAAACAGAGAAAAACTGAAGCCTGCAATAGGAATCTGCATATCTGATGAGCTGGAATATCCAAGGATGGCTTTGGTTATCTTTGAGACACGTAGTGCTTGACCTATGCACAGGACATCATCACAGGAAAGTTCAGGAATGGATTTTCTTTTGAAAGTAATATCCTTGGTTTCACCATTTTTCATGCAGTTCCCTTTCTAATTCCCAGCTGAAGTAAGCTGCAGTTCTGATCCTCACAAAGAGAACACGAGGAAGGGCTGTTCTTACAGTGCAGGCCCCACCAAGGCAAGGGAAAAATTAAATGGGATTAATTTAACCAGATTATGTCCTTGTAGCAAATACTCCTGGCCCAGAATCAGAATCACATCACTTCTGCCTCTAATTAATTGCCTGTCAGCTGAGCTGGGTGGCTATGGGCAGCACTCACCTGCAGCAGAGATGAGGTTGTAAAAGCAATTTAATCCCTTTTCATTGCAAATGAAGCTAAATTGCTCCATCTTGCCTTCCTTGAGCTGGAGTGGAGGCTCAGGACTGCTACAGGAGCAGATTAGCATCAGGCTTCCCTGAAGGGCTGAAGTGGCCTTGATTTGCTTTATCTAAATTTGCTTTAGATAAACTCAGTCACTTAAAGAAGTTCATTGTAAGGAATTGTGGGAGGGTTTTGGTGAAGACAAACCCGTGGTGGATTCAATTTCCTTTTCTTTTCTCTCTACAAACATTTTTTTCTGCTCTGGACCAACAAAGAGCTGCCTCTGCAGAAGGTGGGAGCAGAACCAACACAAGCTCAATTCAAAGCCTCTCCTAATCTGTTTCCCCAGCTTCACTCCTGACATCAGTAGGGCTCCAGGAGCTGTTTATATTTAGCTCCAATAACTTCAGATAATGTACTATTAACTGCTGAACTAATGATCCCAGACTTAGCATTTCCATCAGGACCTTGCCCCATTGAGCTGACACTCCTCAAATCATTTTCTTTCTCATTAAAGTAATTAAAGACAACTGCTGGAAAAACCTTTAGGCAATCAGAGACAGAGCTGATAATCAGCCAAGCACATCCACAGTCGTGGCTCTTTTGATCTGCAGTTGAATTGCTGGAGGTTGGGCATGGATCTGTATTTTCTGTGTGTAAGGGTGCCTGGCTCCAAGGGACAGTGGGCCTGTCCCCTCCTGGTGGCACTTCTGGCTGATGGAGCAATGAGCATTCCCAGGTTCCTGTTTCCCTGGATCTGCACTGGCCAGGAGCTTCTGAGTGGTTTTCCTTCACTGTAGGGCTTCATGGAGAAGAGGCAGAAACATAAGAGAGGGGATGGAGATTCTTTTGTGTGTTTGTGCTGCAGAGGAATTCAGTGAAGAAATTTCCCCTGGGGATCCAGGGCTGTGCAGTGATGAGGGGAAGAGCTTTGGGAAACTTAAGCCCAGTCTAAATTTGGCCTTGCCCACACATCCCCATTTGTGAGGAGTATTTCAGAGGAGTTTTGTCATTCCATTCCCCACAGACAGGAACACCATGTTACTGTCAAACATGCCCTGGATCTGCTTCATTTCTTCTAAGGAAGGATTTCTTCCTGGAAAGGGTGGTCAGGCCTTGGCAGGGGCTGCCCAGGGTGTTGGTGGAGTTCTCATCCCTGGAGGTGTCCAAAGAACACTTGGACATGGCACTCAGAGCTCTGGGCTGAATGACAAGGTGGAGATCAGGCACAGGGTAGGATCAGTGGCCTTGGAGGGCTTTTCCATCCTCAGTAATTCTTGGATTCTGTGATTAAGTCTCTCATTCTCCATAAATATAAAAATAATTTCTGAAGACTACAATTGCAGCTGTTGGGCAGTGGACACATGGCTTCCATGGGTGATCTGGCTGCTGGTGTCTTTCAGGGCTTTGCCCCACCTGTCCTGCAGCCCCTGGCCCAGGGCATTTCAGGAGCACCTGGGCTGAGATCAGGGCTCATTCCTGTGGGATGAGATGTTCATCCTTCCCTGGGGCCAGTTCTGGGGGTGCCCAGTAAGGGTCCCATGGGTCACTTCAGCCAGGTCAGGACTGTAGGTGACCTGGTGAGGTGGAAATGCTCAGATTTGGGGCTGGTTTGAGGCAAGGGAGGGAGGAAGACTCTGGAAGCAAGGGGAGAGGCAGAAGCAGAGGCTGCTGTTGGATCAGCTCATCCCATCTGCTGGAGCTGGAGCTTTCAGAGCCTTTCAGTGCTGCAATGCTCCAATTTCCCCACTGGTCTGAGAAACTGGGCTTCTTCTGCTCTTTGTGGAGCTCTTCTCTCTGCTCTCTCCCGTGCTGCCTTCCCTGTGCAATTGTCAGTACAGCCTCACTTGTCATTTCCAACGCCTCAGCCCTGACTCAGGGGAATGATGCTAGGGAGATTTAAAATCAGCTGATGTCTCTGGGCAGGTCTGAGCCAATTTACCATGGCTTAGGGAAATGGGGAAGGGTCTGGAGCCCCAGGAGGGGCTGAGGGAGCTGGATAGGGGCTCAGCCTGGAGCAGAGGAGGCTCAGGGGGCCCTTGTGGCTCTGCACAAGTCCCTGGCAGGAGGGGACAGCCAGGGGGGTCGGGCTCTGCTGCCAGGAACAGGGACAGGAGGAGAGGGAATGGCCTCAGGCTGGGCCAGGGGAGGCTCAGGGTGGATACTGAGAGAAATTTCTTCATGGAAAAGGTTGCAAAACATCGGAATGCCCAGTGCAGTGGTGGAATCCCCATCTCTGGAAGTGTTCAGAAAACATGTGGATGTGGCACTTGGGGACATGGGTCAGCGGTGATGGTTGGACTCAGTGACCTTAGAGATCTTTCCCAAACTTAATGATCCCATGGCTCTGTGATTCTGAGTAAGAGCCAGGACAAAGCCAGAGGAAGCAGCAGTGTGAAGGACACTTGGAAATCACATAGAAACCTTGCAAGAGTTTTTGTGTGGGTTCTTAACTGGCACAGACAGGGGTTATGAAACTCGGTGTTATTTTCTTGGCTCAGACCTTGGGAAGTGTCCAGGCTTTAACAGGAGCAGTGTCCTTTGCTCTGTCTTCAGTTGATCAGCTTTCTACTGACCCCAAAGCCCAGGAGAAGCTCAGGTAATTATTTTCAATTGTTTTTTTTTGGGAAAAGCTGATTAGAAGTGACTGAGGCCCTAATGAAAGCTGACCAGCTTTCCAAACTTAAGATGAAAATCCTTTGGCTTCCTTCCCCTGGGCTGGAGAGGGAACACTGGAATTAAAGGCAGGGGAAGATAGGAACAATTAACAAAACTCCTCCAGAGGGGCAATTTTGAAAATAAAGCAGATTTATAGTAGAAGTTCAATTTTGTGGAGAAGTTCCCTAAACAGAGCATGGTGCAGCTCATTCTCTTGTGCTGTAAATTAGTATCATTTCAGGATTTTGAAGAACAGATCATCTCCTTTTGCAGTTACTCCATAAGCAGCTACTGCAGTCAAAGCACTGTTCCAAGGCTGTTCTCAGTGGATGCTGCCAATTTATCCTGGAAGAATACAAGAGACAGCTCTGCAGCTTCGTGACAAAGGTTTAATTCAGCTTCACACAGCCCTGATTTCAATTTACACAGAGATACCCTGCTCCAGTCACTCCGTGTTTCTTATCAGGGCAGATTCCACGTTGGCTGAATAACTTGTTATGAATCTCCTGCAGCTGCCTCGAGTCCTGGTAACCACAACCAACTTTTCTAATAAACATCTCCCCACGTTCTGAACACTCATTATCACTCGTGTGCACTTGGCTTTTTCTGCAGCGATGCGGAAGAGAAACAGCTCCAGATCCTGCATAGAAGGAGAAACAGAAAATGGGTTGTGACCCACCTGGAATTTGAGGAAAAAGAGAAGAAAATTGGGCTTGAATGTTTGATCTGATGTAAATCTGATGTAAATCAGGGGATCGTGGGTTGGGAGGGGACCTCAAATCCCACCCAGTGCCACCCTGCCATGGCAGGGACACCTCCCACTGTCCCAGGCTGCTCCAGCCCCAATGTCCAGCCTGGCCTTGGGCACTGCCAGGGATCCAGGGGCAGCCCCAGCTGCTCTGGGCACCTTGCTCCAGGAGCTCCCCTGTGAACTCTTCCTTTGCTGCTGGTGCTGTGTTGGGTTCTTCTACCTCCCCTGAAAGCAGCACTGGGATACTGGGATCTGGGGGCACAGCATCAACCCCAGGGCAGCTCCTGCTCTCCCACTGGGAAGTGCAGCTCATTGCTGGGGAAGTTCCATAACAGAAGGTGTTTCTCCCCTTTCTGGTTGCTCCAGTGAATCTTTTCCCAGCTCCACAGAATCCCTTCCCAGCCCAGGCTGGACACTGGGGCTGGAGCAGCCTGGGACAGTGGGAGCTGTCCCTGCCATGGCAGGGGTGGCACTGGGTGGGCTTTGAGGTCCCTCCAAAGCCAAATGGTTCCATGAGTCTGTGACTCAGAATTGGGATTCTGTGCTCCCCCTGTGCCAGGATGGGACAATTGCTGCCCCCTGTGGGAATTCTCTGCTGCAGCAGGAATTTGGGATATTTGTGACGCTTTGTGCCACACGATGACACTTGATTTGCACTCATTGGAGTTTCAGTTATCGGTCTCCAAACCCTCCTGGCCTGAATTGTGTTTGTTCCTATCCCAGCTCTTCTGAACAGTTCCTATCAGCTGTGAGAAGACCTGGAGCAAATACACCATTAAATAGCAGGAGAGGAAAGGGTGGCCACAATGACCTCAGAGCTGGCATTTATCAACTTCCAACTTTCTCCTTTGGAATATTAATGATTTCTTAATGTACATTTAGAGTGGAATTACCTCTGTATACTGAACGCTTTGCAGAACACACCATAAATATTCCATAGAACAGAATGGATTCATAGAGTGCAATATTTATCTCTGAAGAGGAAAATCTTACCCAAGTATCACAAAGAGGTCACACTCCGGGGTTTTTCACAACCTCTCACTCTAATCCTGTACATGATGGTTTTATTTTGGAAGGAAAGGGTATTTTGCACTTTCTGTATCCAGAAAAAAATGATGAACACCTTGGCTCCTGTGGGACTGGAGGGAGGATATAAGTGGTGGATTACAGGTTGTAAGGGAGCTGTGGGTGACTGCAAACAGTTTTTCACTGTGTAAAGTCAGGATCTCCTTAAAAGAAGGATAAATCTTGTTCATTGCAACAGAACATACTTGTTCCATCAAACTGGTGCTGCTGTGCTTTAAACAGCTTGGGGGGAAGGAGAGATTTCTATCCAGCCACACATTCCCACCAGGATCTGGCAGGGGAAGGAAAAAACCAGCAGAGAGGGAGATCTGTGAGGGAGGAGCGCTGCTGAGCTTCCTGCAGCTTGAGGTACAAACAAAAACCCCAACTTTTATAAGGTTTGTGGTGCCCAGGGTGTTCTGTTTTGATGAGCAGCCAGGAAAAATAAGGAGAGGCTGTCCCAGGCCTGCCTAAGGAAGATGTGTTGCTTCTTGGGGAAAGCTTGGCCAGCGCTAGGTGCAGTGTCTGGGTAAAAGCACGAGGCCAGAGTTATGATGTGCAGAGACTGCAGAGGTGCCCTTTGTCACCTCAGGGGCTCTCTGGGGCAGGGATTTGTCTGTTTGGGTCTTGCTGTGTTTCCTTCAGCCCCTCATAAACCAGCCTCTCTCCTGCGATGATGTTAGCAGTGCTGAGCTCTCAACATGAATGCTAAACTCAATTAATTTGTTAAGTGCTTTGCTCTTTGGATGAAAACTGAATTTTAAGTATTGCTCTGTTGAATTCCATCTTCTTAGTCCTGCAGCTGAGGGTATCCAGATGAATTTCAGGCTGATGGATTCCCAGCATGTTTCTCTGTTCCGTTCTGTGTGGATTAGTTTTACAGCCTCTTAATTCCAGCACTCCATGTGCTCCTTATGCAGAATAACTGCAAAGCTGTGCAGACTGAGAGGGGATTCCTTGGGTAAATGCTGGCCTTAATTAAAGTGCCAGAGTTTCCTTTGGCTTATGAAGGATTTTGAAAGTCAGAGAGGATAAGCGTGGGAGAGAAAGAAGCCAAGGGAATGTGGTGTGAGGTGCTGGCCTTGGGTCCTCCCTGTGTTTGGTCCCAACAAGTTACTCCCTGGGCCAGAAGTGCTCGTCACACTTAGGGGAACATCCCAGTGCTTGTTCAGGTGATGAAAAGCTTTGAATAAACATCCTGTGTTTGCTATTAACATAGAATTAGTTCTTTCCAGCATTACTTTACAAATAGAAATGATCCTGCTGGTTTTGTTGAGGGCCTGGGATTGCTTCGAGACTCACAGACAGGGAGCTGTACATGGATCACCCATGGCAGCACCTCCTGTCAGCTCCTGGTGCTTCACCTGGTTCTGGTGATCTTATTATGGGGTGTCTGAGACCGATGCCTATTCCAATGGCAATGAAGAGAAACAGAATCATGGAATCAGGGAATGGTTTGGGTTGGGAGGGACCTCAAAGCCACCCAGTGCCACCCCTGCCATGGCAGGGACACCTCCCACTGTCCCAGGCTGCTCCAGCCCCAATGTCCAGCCTGGCCTTGGGCACTGCCAGGGATCCAGGGGCAGCCCCAGCTGCTCTGGGCACCCTGTGCCAGGGCCTGCCCACCCTGCCAGGGAACAATTCCTGCCCAGTACCCACTTAACTCTGCCCTCCTGCAGCTGCAGCCATCAGGATGATGCTCAGCAGAGCATTGCCACAGTTGTCAAAAAAATAAAAAAAATCTATTCAGACTCTTTCCTTGTTGTGGGGACCTTCCTGCCCCAGTGGCTGGAAGAAACATCCAGGAAAGTCTGCCCAGAGAGTGAGCTGTTCAAAGGGAGCCCCGGTGGGGAATGCAGAACGATCCACGGTCTTGAAAGGGTTCTAAAAGAGTGGGAATGTCTGTCAGCCTGCGGTGACAACTCCCACACCCCCATCCCTGTAGGTACTGGCTCTGTCCCACAAAAACCACACAATGCATGCACAGCTCCCACTGGGATCTGCTCACAGCCTCAGGATGTTGGGATTGCCATGGAAAAGGAGGGGGAATCACTGCAGCTCCCTTGAGCTGAGCTGCTCCCTGGGCAGTTTCCCTTCCCTTCCCTGACTCAAGAACTCTGTGGATGCAGAAAAACGAGATCAGCCCTGCCCCGAGGGCAGCAAGAAACCATCTCCTGACATCTTCCATATCCTTTCCCATCCCCAGCAGCAATTTATAACCACAGCTCTAATTTGCTCACTGCTAAACCACTGCACTGATATCAGAAACTGTGTGTGAAATATCTCCTCCTTTGGGACTCTACTGCTTTGTGCCTTTGAAGAGATGCAAACAATGGGAATCAGGAGTAAGAGATGGAGATATCAGAATGACAATGCAGTTATTAAAGACCTGAATCCTGCCAGGGGCCTGTTCTCTGGATAGAAATTAAGATGATCACAGGAACACTGAATTAAATGGAACAGTCATGAATGAAACCTCACAAAAGGTAGACATTTATTCCTGCATCCCCACAGAGAAGGGAAGAATTCTGAGTGTATAATCAGCCATCCTTATATCTGTATTGTTTCCTTCATGCCATTCCCCTCCATCAGTTGAGTCTGCCCAGGGAAAACAGGATAAATATTGTCTTTGGGACAGCAAATGCTGGCAGAGCAGTGCTGAGGTCTGGAATAGGACCCCCGGGTGACCCAGAGACACGAGGTGTGAAGGGGGCAAAGGGAGGCAGCATTTCTGGGCACAGTGAGGCTGCTCAGACACAGGCTCAGTTGTTTGCAGCAGTGAGAAAACCATCTGGAAACCTCTCCCAGGAAAGTGTCTCTCCCATTCTCACTGGAAAGATGTGTGCCAGCTCCAGCAGCTCGGGATCCATGCTCAGTGTTACTCATTTGACACCTCCTTTTTCCTAACAAGCTGTAGGGCTTTGTGGTTCCCTGTATCCATAGGACCTGGATCAGCAGCTTCCTCCTGGATGGACACACTTGCACTGGATTTACTGATTTGTGTGTGCTGTGAAAATGTCAAAATGAGCAGAAAGTATTTATTATTTATTATTAAGTGCCAAAAAATTGACTTGGCTTTGGGAGAAATGAAGGCAGTGCCTGAGCAGAACAGTTCAGTAGGTGATGATGGAAGAGGAGAGAACAGATTTTAGTAATTCAAACATGGACTTCAGGGAATGGCTGGAGCTGGGCCAGGGAATTTGGGATGGAGATCAGGAAAGGTTCTTCCCCCAGAGGTGCTGGCACTGCCCAGGCTCCCCAGGGAATGGCCCTGGCCCTGAGGCTGCCAGAGCTCCAGGAGAGTTCCAGGACAGCACTCCAGGGATGAACAGGGTGGGATTGTTGGGGGGTCTGGGCAGGGCCAGGGATTGGACTGGAAGAGCCTTGAGGTCCTTCTCAGGTCAGGATATTCTGTGATTCCACGAGTGGGGGAGATGTAGCAATTTGTGGAAATTGTTTACATTCATAATTACACTGTAAAGGGACAAGAAAATCTCTGTTTTTCATGTCTCTGTGTTCAAGAGCAGAACATGAGTAGGAAACGAACTTCTTTGGTAATTTTGCTTTCCAGGGGCCCATTAGAAACACAGCCAGATGCTCCTCTGCACTCACTTCAATGGATCACAAATCCAGGGAATTCATTTCCCATCTTCTGTGTAGGGAGACGGATTTAAGGAGCAGGTCAATAGGAGCAGGTGAGAATGGGACACAAAGGACATTTTCCATTGTGTGTAACTGGGATAAAAGAGCTCTGGGAACTGCT